AGGCGGCAGGCGGGAATCGAACTCATGCGGAAGTGGCTTCAGATTCTCAGTGCTGTGCTTTAACCCGCTGCGCCACCAGGGAGGGCCACATAAATCTTTTTAAAAAATGCTTTTTGACAACAATTTTTTCCTGAGAATTGCTGTAGCATCCATATTCAACATCAACAGCTCAATATATTTCCTACTTAACCAATTTTGCTTCTTTTTTGACCCCTGGATTATTTAGAGATGCAGAGCTTAATTTTCAATTGGTTGGGATTTTATAGCAATATCTATGTTCTTAATAGTTTATTTGCATTGTAGTCAGAAAATATACTTTTTTATTTCAATGACAGGAAAGTTGATATTCTATTTGTGCCTGGAAATAATGTGATTCTGGCTGTTCTTGGGCACAGTGTCTGTTTCAATGACATAAGATTGCTTGGTTGTGTTGTATAGATCCTCTGTATTGATACTGATAGGTGTTGATCTATTTATCAGCTGTTGAGAAAGGTTTCTTAGTCCTTCACTATGGCTGTGAAGAATTTAATTCTGTCCACTTTTTGCTTGATAAGTCGTTATTGGTAAATTTAATTATGCCATTTTTGGTTGGATTGTCCTTTTGATTTTTATAAAATGTCCCTTATTATATTTTGTAATTTTTTAACCATAAAATCTTTTTTTATTACTCTAGTTTAATTTCCTCAACATACATTTGATCTGTCACACAAACCGAGTCATACTTTTAGTCACTTCTGTTAATCACTTCACAGATTAATATTGGCTGCACAACAATAAAAATTTGAAATAAAAGTCAAATTGTTGCACTAATTACAACAAGAATATCACAATGATTTTCTATATCTTTTTCTGTCATGGAAAAATAGTAAATACTTAAGGTTTATGAGCTTCATGGCTTAGTTAAACTAGCCTTTGAAATGTCACGTTCATTCATAATTTTATCCTTAAACATTCAAATGTTTGTACATACTTAGCCATTTATTTACTTATTATAAGCATCTTTCCCCATTTGAAAAGGGGTATTTAAAGTAAATTAGATGCTATATTTGCTACTTTTTGTTGAGTAGTTAAAACATTCTTAATAAACTGACATACATCTCATTCTCAGTCCTCACCAGTTTGGCTTGTTTATATAATTTTTGAAAGCAACACAAATTTTAAGAATTTTCCCTAAATGGAATGAAACAAAATAAAATGTTTTATACTGACTACATTGCCTCCATAAACCTATGCTTGTGCAACTAGAAGATGATTACAAAGTCCCTTTTCCATCTTGACCTATAGAGTAAGTAGAAAACTGCTTTAAAAAATCAGTATTTAAAAAAAAAAAAATATATATATATCGTCACATTGTCAAAGACTATTAGTTCACATTTATCATGTAATTGACTGAGACATTCTCTGGGCTAAATATGTAAATTCATCCCACTTGTCATGTCAAATTTAAATATATCTCAGGTATTTTCCACAATAATGGCTGATTCATCAAAAGCATTAATGAAAGTTCATAACAATCTGTAACTTGTTCTTTTAGAATTTACTAAGTGATTTTTGCATCCATTGTCCCTACTCATCATCCCAGAGGTATAGGAGTAAGTCAGACAAGCATGATGTCCTTATAAGCTTTTGAATTCTTTTAGTTTTGGATTATTCCCTATGAGGGTGATGCGTAAGATGTGTGGTAGAATTATAGTGCATGTCAAATTTGCATGTTACTAATGAATTGTTCTTTATCTCACTCATCACACCTTGTCTCTTTTTCTGGTTTCCACATATCTCATCTAAAATTGACAGCCGCTGATCTTCTTCTTTTTTTTTTTTAAAGATTTATTTATTTGTGCATACAGAACTGGGGTACAGGCCAGAGACTTAGGGGCAGCGAGTGGCTTCACCAGAGACAGAGTGGAGAGCAGAACAGGCAGATCCACGAAGTACACTGCTGAGGGGAGCAGCGGGCGGGCCAGGAGAGGTCTGCCGCGCCACGTGGTCACCTCCGGGGCAGCCGGGAATCCATCTCATGTGGAAGTGGCTTAAGCTTCTTAGTGCTGTGCTTTAACCTGCTGCACCACCAGGGAGGGCCCATCTTCTTCCTCTTTTTAATATCCTGAAAGGAGATGCCGATCCAAAAATCTCCTAAACAGCTAACATCAGCTAGGCTGACTTGGAGCTCTAGTAACAAACTGGTCACACTGTCTGGAGAGCCATTTCCTGAGCGAGAGTGTTACCATAAAATCTTAATCTGTTATTAGTGTAACACCACCAGCTTTGGAGGTTAGGTTTGCATGGTATTTTCCTCCATTCCTTTCCTTTCAATGACTCTGTGTTCTTATATTTAAAGTGTGTCTTTTGTGAGCATGTTAAGACACACATACACATACGCATCTCATTGGATAATTCTAGGTATAGAACTCTAGGTTGACAGTTAATTTTATTCAGCACTTTAAAGATGTCATTTTTGTCTTCTGGCTTTTATTGTTTCTATTGAGAAGGGGGCTTTCAGTTTAATTGCTAATTGTTTCAAGATAAAGTATACATTTTTTTTCTTGGCTGTCTTGAAGATTTTTTATTACTGTTACCCCCCTCCCCCCTGGAACTTGGCAATGAGGTGTGTGTGTGTGTTTAAACAAAACTCCAGATTTTACTGGATTTCATCAGTTTTCCCATGAATTTTCTCTTTCGGTTTCAGGATACATTCCAAGGCATGACATTTTATTTCCAGGTTTCCTCAGTTCCCTTTGGTCTGTGAGAGCTGCTCAGATTACCCCACAGTCTGAATTTACCTGATATTTTCTTTCTGATTAGAATAGGTTTATGGGGTTTTGCAAAGACTATCAGATGAAAATTGCCTTTCTCATGTCATTTTGTTATATCTTGTGTGAGATCTGCTGAGTTTATGGATTGGGGGGTTGATGTGCTTCACTGATTCTGGGTCATCGAATGTTGGCAGAACAGCGACATGTCCAAGCAGAGGTCCTAAGAGTCCTCTCGTGTTCTTGCTTGTCCCTTTTGTGCTCCCAAGGTCCCTCAGGGATCCCCAGAATAGACCTGCATGCACCTGCAACTTGGAGCCAAAATCATTCTGAGACCTACCAAGGTCAAGCAACCCCTAGATGTCCTTTGGACACACGAGAAGAAAAAAATGACCATAGTTTTAACTCAGTGAATGTCAGCTGTGCTTATTGTTGGCAATGATTGGCTGAGGCAGACCTGAAGAGGCCCAGAGTTCCTTTTTCCTCCATCCAAAGCTGTTGTTCTGGGAGTCTGGTACTAACCTACTTCTCCCAGGTCATGGGAGTCTTGCTCCATCCTTTTACCTCCCCTTTACTTCCTCCCTGAGCCAAGACTAGAAAGACTCCTAGATCCAAAGCCCTTTCACAATGTCTCAGCAACAGTAGTTCAGGCCATTTTGGGTTCCAAGGAGCATCTGAATGTATGGACTTGTATTTCTCAAGTGGTGGCACAGAAAACCCCAACTCCTGAGTCCTCTGACCTAGGATGATTTATTCTATGGGTCAGTGAGTGTGATGAGACCTAAATGGAACAATGTCTGGAAAAATTTCAGCACAAATATATTTTCTATAGAGTGGAAGTTATAAGAAGATAAACAGAACAGTCACCTGTGAATCTTACTTTGGTTCTATGTGAAATATCCAACTAGTAGTTAACTGTCACACAAGAAATAGCAATATAGTCTTCAAATATAGGACACATCAAATTTTATTAGACAATAATATTAAATTTTCTTCAAATTCCACTCTTCTTTGACTTTTACCAACCATGTAGCAGGGAAAAAGGCTCACACAATCAAAAACAAAAAGAAAAACAAAAAAAGTGAAGGTGTATGGCCTAAAGCTTTCTGGATACTGGACCCAGTACAGATGAGGAGGAATGGCTAGACAGGGCCCAGGAGCTGCACCTGTCCACCTCTCCCAAGTCATGAGTACTCAAGTCCAGGGGCTCTTAGAGGCCCAGAGTATTTGGCACAAGAAGGAAGTATGGCTTAGTGTAGGATTCGACAATCCCAACCCACAGTTACCATCCCTACATCCACCAGTCCACACCCTGGCACAAGCTCTGCTCTACCCCTACCACTCAAGCCCACATTTGCTTCCAGATTCTTAAATCACTCCAATCTGCAGTCAAAAATGTTTCTCATGTTCTACGCCTATCCCCTGCTCTACTCAGGCACGAAGCTCTGCAGGGCCAGGCACTCCTTGATCCTCTACTACTCTGGCAGATGGTGCCAAGTGTCATATTACAGTGTGAGGAATCTCCACCCAAGGAGTGGAAAGGGGTTGAGGCATGGGGGCCAACCTGGGAGAGGAGGTGAAGTGGGGGCTCCCCGTGCAGTATCCCATCCCCCACCCACTGTGATGAAGGCAATTCCTGCTCCAGAAGGTAAACATGGTCACTCCTTAGCCGGCAATCTTGGTCCTGCCTCACCTGTGAATTGGCAAGGGGTGAAAGAGGAGCCACCCGACCAGATGGGGGAACCAGCATTCACGGGGACGGCTGCAGATATTTACTGAGCACCTACTACATGCTAGCCTCTGGCCCAGGAGTGCCACCAATCATTTCTTTACAACCCTTTACGGAGGCCTTTTTTTCCTCCATCTTAGTGCTGAGGAAATGGAAACTCAAAGAAGCAGATTCACTTTCTTGTCCTCTAGTTAGATGGTAACTGAGCTGCTACTGTATCTCAACCTGGCCTTATCTCCAAAGGACCTCAGATCCAGAAAGGAGCTCCAGAGATAATCTATTCCAGGTCCTGACAGTAGACAGGTAAAGTGTTAGTGCTGTTTTTCAGAAGACTTAGGGAACCTGTGTGTGTGCAAGTGTGTGCTTGTTTGTACTTGAGTGTGTGAGAGAGGGTAGGGTAGCACTGAGGTCAGGAAAGAAAAGCTTCATTCCTGTTTCTACCACTTAAGCCCCAGAGTAGAGGGGAGTGAGCTCAAGACACAAAGGGCCCCTGTTTTGTGTCTGGAGCTTCCTTTGATACAAAAGAGGCAGGCCCAGCCACAGGTTGGGAAAGACACAAGTGCCCACCCCCACATCCCAGTGCACCAGAGCGTTAATCTTTCTTCTGGAAAGATCCTAGACCACATGAGTGGCCAGGGCCTTTGGAGGTCAGCTACCCATCCTGCTCCTTCTACCGTGACGAATCTGAAGGATGGTGGGCCAGGTCCCTCTCTCCCAAGTTTGTTTGTTCCCCAAACAGGATCCTAAAGCTTCTCAAATCATCAACCTCCTGTCCCCTGTGCATTGCAGGGCCAGCAGTGGACAGGGCCTATGGTCGAGTCATGGGGAGCGAGACCCTCAGAGCCAAATGTCTGGGAAGGCTCAGAGCAGGCTCCTTGGCTTCCTGTCCAGGTTGATGCAGGGCTGCTCTAGGGCAAAGCTCCACTGAAGGTCATGATGGGCAGGCAGAGAAGGGAGCAGAGGTCAGAGGCAGCCTGGGCAGATGGATAGGGGGACTTTTGGGGTGGGGGGTGCAGGCTGCTCTTCTCTGGCTTGTAGCAAGGTGAGACCTCACACCTGTGGGCAAAGCAGGAGTAAGAGTGGGCCACCCATCAGTTTGGCTGTTTCCAGGCTTCTGGTCAGGGTTGAGCAGAAACTGACCCCTTTCCTGTGACCCCACTTTATAGAAGCAGAGTCTGGGTTCCCCTTTCCTACCTGATCACACTCTGCAGGATCTTCCTTTCATCTTGGTCCAGACACACGGCAAAGGGGCAGTCGTTGGAGCCAATAATCTGCACTTTGTCCACCTTGATTTGTGATATGCTAATCTGGAAGGAAGGCTCAGGTCAGCCCCTAGAGCCCTGTCCAAAGTGCTGCCAGTCCTAAGCCCTCCCAACCAGATCTGACAGGCAGGCGCAGGAGGTGGGCAGCACTCCTGGGCTAATGGCCAGTTAGCAGAGGAAGACTGAAGCCTTGATCAGGCCCTGCCTTCTCTCTCCCCTCTCCCCTCTCCCGAGTCTGAAGGAAGCCAGGCCCCCCTCAGGATGAAGGGTACTACCCACTGCCTGCCCCAGGAGGCCCCCAGGTTCCCTGACAAGGAGCCCGCTCTGCCTTGCCCTTGAGCAGGGCTGTGTAGAGTCCACTCAGAACCTTCCCAAATACACATTTCAGCTCATAAGGGTACCCTCTCCTTCCTGACATCACACAGCACTCCACATGTGTGCACACCCCCAAACCTCACCTGGCCTCTCCTCTCATGCCCCACTGGCACCCTCAACACCTCTCCTGTCTCAGACACGTGCCTCTCTGCACACACACACACACACACACGTTTATGCACATCCCTGCGTGTACACATGGATCTCTGTATACACACACACATTCCCCTGCACACACACACACACCTGCCATATGCACACCCCTGCACATACCTGTGCACACACGTGCCCTAAGTGTCTCCTGAGGGTGTTGTTGGAAGAGAGGGAAGCCCTTACCTGGTTAAAGCCCTTCTTGGATTTGGGATTCTGCCTTTTTACGACTTCCGTCAGGTTTAGCGTCAGGTTCTCTGTGCTGGAGTCTGGAGGGAGGGGAGGCTTAGAGCAGGCTCAGAAGCCCCCCCCTTACACCAACCTCATCCCTCCGTCCTACCCACCCCCTCACCGAGTTCTTCCTGCTTCCTGCAGGCCTTGCTGAGGTTGACTGAGGTGCAGACTTTCTCCATGTTGCTCCAGCGACTCCGCCCACTGATGGCCCCCTGGAAATGCAGCAGACTCAGATCCTCTCAGTCTAGGGATCCCCCAGGATCCGCTGCCTTTGTTTTAAAGTGGCTCTGGACCCACCAGTGACTAGCAACTGCCCACAGGCAGCACAGCCCAAGTCTCTCTCAGCCAAGCCTGCAGCTTCTTCACCAAGAGCTCTCTGACCTCTGTACAGACCTAGTGGCTCCAGGAGGGGCATGGGCCACTGTGCTGGTGCGAGGGTCCATCTGGTGACCAGATCACAGATCACCAGAGGTCTGAGAACCTCAAATCCTGAAGATGTTTTTTTGAACCCATCTGGGCCAGGAGGAGACTGCCTTAGGCATGGGGTTCCAGACAGAGCCAGGCGGGAACGCTCTCCTCTGAGTCCCTGCCTGTCTTTCATTGGCACTCTGGTGCTAACCCCCACAACATTTCTCAGTCTTCAGTTTACTGACCTGATTTGATTCTGCTCATTGCTTTCCTCGCCTGGCCTTCCCACCCTCTGTGTGGCTGGTGCCCACACTCAGACCTCAGGACCTCACTCTGGCCCGCTGCTCTGCAATCCTGCTGTCTCCATTAGGGAACCTTGCCAAAGCCCTTTTTCATTACCATCTATATACCCATCTTTATTCTTCATCTCTGAGTTCAGACTCATTCATCCAGGTACATATACAGCTCTCGGGTAGGAGTTGGGGAGGGATCTGGAGCAGATCTTGAGGGGAAATAGCCCGGTATGGGTCTTACCTTGCTGTAAATAATCTGTAGTGTTAGAGGGACGGCCTCCCGGTCATCATCAATGCCCAGCCGCTTGCTGCCAGGACCTGTGCCACACACAGACCCTTCGCACCACACTTGTGGAGCCCCTCACAGACCCTGGGCTTCCCGGAAGCTCCCCTCCTGAGGGCCTGAACTCATGACCCCCCCAACCCTGCCCCCAGGGCCATGCCTCCCCATCTGCTCCATCACAATTGAGGCAGCACACACCTGAGGCCTTGATGGCACGTGTGGCAGCAGAGTGACCCAGTTCCAGGGAGTGGATGAAGATCTCAGTCGTCTTCTGCCCAGTGATGAAGGTCAGCTGAGAGGGCAAGAACCTGGGCATCGGTGTGGCCCTCCCTGAGGTGCCCACCAGGGTTGCTGACTGCCACATAGGGTGGGGTGCAGGCCAGGACCTGGCTATATTGGATGCTGAGAGGCCCCTGCCAGTGAGCCTGGGGAGTAGGGTGCACCTTACCTCTGTCTGATACACCTGCAGCAGCACTGGCCGGGCAGCAAAGCGGCAATAGTAGAGCAGCATGTCTGCCAAGATGGGCAGCTGCGTTGGGGAGCCTTCCATGGACTGGGCTTCGGCCTTCAGAGACTGGGGGGGGGGGTGGCAGGGGAGCCAGAACAGGCGGGACAGAAAGTGAGAGAGAATATGAGAGGAAGAGAGACAGAGAAGCATGTGTGTACACGCATGTACACATGTACACACACACAGAGAAGTGAGATACCAAGGCGGAGAACCAGGAAGGGGTTGACGAGATGGTCAAGGAGGGCCCGCAGCCCAGCCTCCTCACCCCTCCATCACTGGTGCTTGGGCCACCAGGGACGCCCATGGTCATGCTGGCTGAGGCTGGGACTTGAGGGTGAAGCCGAAGGTCCCCAGGACACTTCTGAGAGCCCCACTGTCATTGCCGTGATTCCACCCCTAGTGCCCAGTACCCTGGGGCCAGGCTCCACTCTACTTCTCACTCATGCTATGTTCTTTGACCAGCTAATCCAGGTTCTCCATGGGCACCCCAACCAGACTTCTAAGCGAGGCTGGGTGACTGCAGCCAACAACCCTCTCCTCCCACCTTGGACCCACTCACCTGGCACAGGACTTCAGGAGGCAGGTGCATGAGGCCCAGCACGTTACGCTCATACCAGGGGTCAAGCATGCCAAGGTAGTAGGAGATGTCATTGGTGCTCTCTGCCCATGGGGCCGTGCCCAGCTCCTGGGGCAAGGGCCAGAGTCATTCCCAGCTACCCAGGAGGCCTGCCATCATAGCTCCAGAGCCCTGCATGGCACCTGCAGCCATAGTCTGACTTCTCCCTGCCCTTGGTGAAGTCTGACAACTTTCAGTCTGTGTCATAGAGTACAACGTCACCCCCAAGTACAGGGACCATTCATGGGGGTGAAGGCCAGGCAGGACGAGGTACCCTGTAAACACAGCTGATTGTATGGGGGAGGGGCTGTCTTTTTCTTTTCCTTTTTTTTTGACTCCCAACCAGCTCCCTCCAAGTGACAGGAACCCACTCAAGTCCACTCTGCTTTCCCACCCCATTTGGTGCAGGGCTGGAAACATACTGCAGGGCTTGGGTGCCTCGTGGAGTCTGTGGCTAGTGGGGGCATCTGACTCGGAGTGTCTGGGCCAGCGCTGGAGCCAGTCCCATGGTTTCGCTTCACGGGTATGTAGAAGAACTGAAGCTTGAAGAACCGTGTGAGAAGCGGGCGATTGTTCTCCAGCTGCCTGTACAAGAAGAGGGTAGGGAGTGCTCCTTGGTCCCTCCCAGAGCCTCCAGCCTCAGAATCCACCAGCATCCCCACCCTGCCACCCTGCAGAGTGAAGCTTCCCATGACAGCTCTTACCGAAGATTGCTGTATGCCCGAGCCACCTTCCCTGAAATTCGATCAGAGCCAAACACCACAACACGAAGTGTGGAAGCCTTAGGGTCCTCGTCCCCACTTAGGAAAGGGCGACGGCGCTGGTGGCGTGACGGGGGGGCCAGGAGCCAGCTGGGCAGCTGGGTGCTGAGCTTGGGCTGGGGCAGGGAGCGGGAGCGCTGGGCCCGGGTGGGGGACAGTGCCGAGTCACCTGGGGGACTACAGAGGCTCCCGGCCCGCCGCAAGAGCAGGGTTGTGTCCAAGCTGGCCTCCAGGGGCCGCGAGTCCCTCCGCAGGACCAGCTGGCTGGTACTCTTGAAGAGTTTATAGATCCTATTAAACTTCTGCCCAGACCTGCGGTGGCCCCGGCGTTCACGGCTGTCAGATTTCTTGGGGCACTCGGAACAACTCTCCTCACTGTCCTCCACATAGCCACTGTCCACGCCATCTGAGAGGCCTGAGGCAAAGGATGTCAGCAAGTGGGGGAAGATGTCAGACCCTGAGGCCCGGGATGAGGCAAGGGAGTCTTGGGAGGCCACCGAACTGGTGGAGAGCACTGAGTCCCTCTCAGCATAGTGTCCATCGGTTTCCAAGTCCTCCTCTTCCTCCTCCTCTTCTTCCTCCTCCTCATCGTCCCCCAGAATCCCCGGCTGAAGCTCCTGTTCCTTAAGCAGGATTTCCTTCAGGATGTCTACAGGAAAGCAAGGGGGGGGGGCTTTGTAGGGGGGTGTGGGCCCTTGAAACACCTCTTGCACACCCTTGGGAGGAACAACAGTCTCAGACAAAATGGACTTGGGGGGAAGAGGGCAAAAGGGGGGTCGTGGTGAGTCTGTCCTGGACCAGACTACTGCTCTTGCTGTGTTTAGAGCCTATTCAGGTGGGGAAGGTGGTGGTGGGGGGGTGGTGTGGAGTGGGGAGGCAGCTGCATAGACTGGTGACTGGGAAGAGAGCCCTGGCAGTTTGGGGGTAGACACCACAGGGCCCCCACTGTCTGCTTACCAAAGCTGTCCTGGTTCCAGCTGTAGGTGTAGCACCTGGCCACAGGGATAGGAATGGTACGGAGCTTGCCAGAGTTGGTGGCATCTGTGAGGACAGACAGGCTGGAGTGAGGCTGGGAAGCAGGTCTTGGGGTTGGTCAGCCTACACCCTCATCTTCGAGAAGAGACCAGTATTGGGAGAGGACGCTGGCTCCATCCTTGGGTGGGCTCAGGCTGACTCGGAAGCCAGGTGCTGAGCTCTCGGCGGAGGGCCGTCTTCTAAGCACTCATGCAGACGCGTGCCTTTGGACAAGCTGTGTGAGCGTGGCTAAGTCACGAGCTGAGTCTCATTTTACAGGGATCAGAGGGGAAAGCATGCTCTCATCAGGTGCTTGTGAGGAACACTGTGTCCTTTCTTCCAGGGTGATGGAACTGTGGAGAGGCGGCTTCCCAGACTCCTGGGGGCCAGGTGTGACCACCTGACTAAGGCAGGCTCATAGGGAGCCTCGGCGGTGAGACACATGCAACTTCGGCCTTACCGTCAGTATAAAAATGGAGCCCCTTGCCTTCAACTAGCCCTCTGTTTTTTCTTTTCCCACAAGTTGCCACATGATGGCAACGCAACCCTAACCCTGCAGACAGGACTCAAGCTCTCGGAGATGTGGACCGGCAGGACGCTGAAGAGCCTGAAGGGCTGTGTGGAGCAGAACCACCTGGACTGCTCTCTGGAAGCTTAAACAGACGCTGGGGAGGGTGGGTTCCACCTTCCCAAGAGCCTCACCCAAGACATCAGAGAAACCGGCTTTCTCTCCCACAGCCTGCAACTTGGTCCTGAGCCACTGCCGGGCCTCCGTTGCATCCCCAATGCCAGCCGCCAGCTCCTGGGCTTCTGCGGTCTCCGTGAAGATGTCCTCCAGCTCTGTCAGGGTCTTGGACTGAAAGCCCAAAAGAAACAGGCTTGCTCCTGTGCCAGGTCTGGCTGCTCGACTTTTGCAACTCCCAGAGCCTTAGCAAGAGCAGCAGTCGGCCTTCTCACCCACCTCTCCCCACAGTCTGGTCTCCCTCTCACGCCCTGTGGTCACAGAACAGTCATGAACAAAAGGCCTAGAATGCTGACACTACAGAGCTGGGACTTCAGCGCTTATCACTGTAGCCCAGAGAGAGGGGAAGTGGCTGTCCAGGCTCACACAACTGACCTGTCAGAGCTTCCAGCTTCAATCTCAAGCTTGTTCCCACTCCACCCAGCCCATGCTGTCTCCTGAGGCTCTGAGCGCCACAGCCCAGGACTCAGGCCAACAGAAACCCTCCCCATGAGGCCAGCCACGTAGCCTGACCCGCCTGGTCACTCAGAGTGAGATAGGCCCATGTGCCCCAGTGACTACATCACTGACATGGAGCTGAGGGGATTCTGCCTCCCCAGAGGAGAGCTCTGCCAGAAGGGGGCAGTGCTGAGCCCTGGGGCTCCAGGCACATACCTGTAATCTGCAGTGCAGCCCTGGCAGGTCACATTGAGTCCCAAAGGTGGCCTGGAAGGCATGCAGGAGCAGGGTGATGTAGGCACTGTGAGGTGAGGGTCTGGGTGCACTCAGTTTTTTGGCCACAGCAAGAAACTCAGCCTGCATCTCCATGGGGTTCAGCAACAGCACGGTGCTAGGGGTACAGAGGATTGGCTGTGGGCACTGGGCACACAGTCCCTCCCTCTTATGCCTGCTGGTGCTCACTGCCATGCAGGGCTTGAGCCAGGAGGAAGGTGGAGGTATCATGTACCCCAGCTCCCAGGGGAAAGTGTGTGCCTACTTTTCAGGATTCTTCAACTGATGTTTTCAAAGCCCTTTTAAAATGAAACTTAAAGAATAAATTTTACCTTAGTTTTAATATAAACACTTTTTTTATAGGACATCTACATGAACACAAGCTTACTCAAAAGGTGATTTGAAGCCAGGTCACCATTTTGTTCTGGAAGATGTCTTTTTAATTATAAGCTCTGGGCCAAAAAGTCTGGACAAATGCAGCTTTAGTAGCCAAAAGAAAGACATCAGGGAAAGACTGTGGGTGTTTGAGGAAGGCTAGGGTTCAGATCCTGGTTCAAACACTTAAATTTGCTGTGTGACCTCACAGAAGTCACTTGGCCTCTCTGACTGCAGTTTCCTTATGGAAGTGGAGTACGTACAGTGAGATAATGTGAACCCAGCCACTGGCTCCATCAGTGCAGGTAGTTTTTAATTTCATTTTTCCAGTCTCAGTCCCAGGTGAGTATGAATGACAAATTCTCAGATTAGAAAAAAGATCCGGTGGATACAACATCACTAGCAGTTCAGGCCATTCCATCACTGTCTTGATGTCTGACTGTTGCTGCCTAGGGTGTGGTGTGGTAGTGTTGTGATGGATGCATGGAGAAGGGGGTGAGGGCTCCTCAGTTCATCCTCCCAGAGGGTACTCACACAGTGGAGCTCCGGTGACTCCTAATAGGTAGGCCCTGCTCGGCCCTCACCAGTCGCTGGTAGGAGATTCCTGTAGCCAGAAAAAAACAAAAAACAAAAAACCAGTTCAGTTCAGTTCAGCAGTGACCCAGGCACTGGAAAAGTAGTTTGGTTTTCAGGATGAAGTTCAGGACAAGGGGAGGATTAGATCTGTGGCCTCCTGGGCCTTTAAGGGTCTGATTGCTAGGCCTCAGCTCAGCTCCATCTGCCCCCACCTTACAGATGGGGTGTGTGCAACTTCTGCATTATCTTCCGTATGAAAACCACTCTTCAGAGGCTTGGGCAGAGCACCCTGGGAGAGAAGTGAGGCCTGCAGCTGCTGTGTCTGCTGCCTTCTGAGGCTCTGCTCTCTGCCCCAGCTCTCCCACTGTTCCTATCACTGCTCCCTTCCCTGACCGGGGTGTCCTCCGGTGACGGACACCCCAGTCTGTTCACTGTCTCAGCTGCCTTGCCCTCAGCATCTCTGCCAGGCTTCCCACACTATCTCAGGGGACAGTGGTCTTGCCTGGTGTGGCCCCAAGGCTGCGTCTGGCCTCTGCACCACAACCCCTCCCAACCCTCCCCACTGGTGTTCTCTGCCTCTCTGATGTCAAAAGTTTGGAGAAGAAAGTAGCCAACAAGATCTTCCTGCTATTGGACTGAGCCCTGTAACTGGAAAGTTGATCCTTGAGAGTATGATTTTAGGTGTGTCAGTGACAGTGAGATGAAGCAACAGTGAATTCTCCTCCCTGACAAGGCCAGAAGCCTTGGAGGCACGGGCAGCCTTCTTCAGTGGGAAATCATCTTGGGGGTGTCAGTCAGAGGTAGGGGCACCCTGCTCTGGGTGTGACCTGGGGGCAGGACCACTATCCCTCATCCAGATGCAAAGCCCACATGGGCTACATACAGCTGCTGGCAGAAAGGCCATGATGCTTGGCGTGTGGCTGAATATCGCCCATTAATCTGATTCTAATTCAGAGTCTGGCTGCTTTGATTTGGGACCTATTGTTTCATGTTATCTTTAGGGAATTTTCATATGCGAAAATGTTAATATT